CATACTGGGGAGCGACCTTATAAGTGTGCTACATGTGGAAAGTCCTTCAAAGACAAAGTAACAATGAAGAGACATACATTGATACATACTGGGGAGCGACCTTATAAGTGCACTACATGCAGGAAAACCTTCTTAACCAATTACGAATTGATGAGACATACATTGATACATACTGGGGAGCGACCTTATAAGTGTGCTACATGTGGAAAGTCCTTCAAAGACAAAGGACATATGAAGAGACATACATTGGTTCATACTAGACAGCTCAATTATTAGTTAACCCTTTGAGTGCCAACGTCCGGGGAACCGGACGTTTTTAAAACGAGCCAAAAGTGCCAACGTCCGGCCGACCGGACGTTTTAAGAACGAGCCAAAAGTGCCAACGTCCGGCTGACCGGACGTTTCGTAATGATCGAACAGCTGTCATAACAACCGAATAAATACTCGGATTCTTTTAACCCATATATTAACATTGAGTCGAAAGTTGCTAGATGCGATACATCGATTTTCGTTGGTCGAAATATCGAAAATTCGATTTTTACGAAATTTTAACCTAAAAATCGCCAGATCGCGCTCGGCATTTTTAGCGCGACCTTCGGGAAAAATCATCGGCATTTTTTGAGCGTTACTTTTATTTCTCGCCTGGCACTCTAAGGGTTAACGACTTGTGTAAAATCTATCACATATAAAAAAACGGTATCAGCATTCTGACACATACTTTCTCCCATAAGCTTGTCAACAACCTTTATCATAAGCGAAGAGAGTAAATCTATCCATCTATCTATACTTATTTAATACGCAAGCAGGTTTTTTGTGACAATTACTCTTCCGAAACTACTGAACCGATTGACATGTTTTTGGTGTCATTGAAAAGAGCGTAACGTGAAATTGTGCAGGAAACTTTCTTTTTAGGGAAATAATTAGAGAGTGAGGCCCTGGGGCCCTTTAAAGTTTCGTATTTATCCATAAGATTAACATGGGAAACAAAATTTGTTATGGAACTCCAGCTGTTGTCAGAAATTAAAAGTGAAATATTTATTGACGGTATCCATGGTAACAAAGAACAAACCCACAAAATTTAAAAATGTAAACAAGCAGAACTAACTGTCAAAATAATTTTGATTTCACAATTCCACACAGCTGGTCCAAACATATTAAATACTACATGATTATTAGAACAGGAACGGTATGGATCATAAACAAAAATAAAATATTTCCCTCGCCCGAATGTAAACATTTAACACTGATTAACTGGAACTGCCAAACTATATGTTAATGTCATTAGTATGGGATTCTTTCAGTTACGTCATTTGTTGACCGAGTCTGTCTAATATTTTTGAGCTGCTATTTTACATTTACAACAATATTTTACAGGAAATAATTTTTAGATAAACTCATGGATATAAGTAATAATTCAGATTCTACAATCATTGCTGTTATTAAAATTGAGTATCCGCAGCAAACCAATATTTCCATTTACCTGACTTGTACTATGAGCATTGTAAACTTTAAAAATGTTCTGATTTGAATTATTATTAATTAAAAGTTCACTTAGTACCGAAAATGAGGATTTTTCTTTAAAATTCCCGGAATTCCGGTAAATTTCCGATTATTCGAATTTTTGATTATCCGAATGGGGTCTGGTCCCTATTGATTCGGATAATCGGAGTTCTACTGTAATAATAAATGATTATTGAAAGTAGATCAAAAAGGCAAGCGCCAACCCCTAAAAAAATATAAGCTAACCCGATAAGGAATAATTATCCGGTCCTTTAAAATTTATATGTCCCACTGATTTTATAATACAATATTTTCTAAGTGCATTATTCTCTTTTGATGGCTCATCTACAGACCAAGACCTTTCTTTGGACACACCTACCAAGTTTCTATGCCCAGCCGTTCTCTCAAATTAGCTGTCCAAAAAAAACCCCTAATCCTCCATAAGAATAACATGGGAATGGAATTTTAAGCCACTGGGGCAGAGCCCCAAGGGAATTTACCTAGTTTCTCTTTTGATGGCTCATCTACAGACCAAGACCATTCTTTCGACACCTCTACCGAGTTTCTACACCCAGCCGTTTTCTAAAATTAGCTGTGACGAAGAAAAACAGTTTCAAATTAATCTATAGATTCTTCCAAAACATTTTTGGATTTGTAGAAGTATCATAAAAATCTGAACATAAAACTATTGGTTGTATTACCTTAACTTTCTTTACATGTTTTATGTACAATATCTACTAGGTCTGTTTACTTTATGCACTGGTTGAACCTGCTCAATCTGGGACATGGTTTTTTTAAATACAGGGAGCGGCAAAATGATCTGACGGTTTTCTTTGCCGCCCTGTCGAGCGAATGAGTGGCGTAGGGTGGTGGGAATAGGGGCGTTACAAAGCCAAGGTGTGAACATTTTTAGTAGCCATGGAGCCGTGGGATAGCTGAGAAACATGTGTTTGTAGTAGAAGTGTTTTTAAAAGTGGAAATTCCTGTGTAGCTGTTCAGTACACTTTCCAATATGGGTCCAAGGGGAAAAGTCCCAACTCAAAAAACCATTTTGCTGTGAGTAGGTAACTTTAGAGCTACTAGTATAGCATTGAAAAAAGTCAACAGGCTGTCCAATGTCAGCTCGGACACCAGAGAGCGCCGAGAGAGTGAGATACGCTGTGGAAGTTAGTCCTCAGCAGCCTAAACGTAAACAAGCTGCAGCTCTGCACTTGTCTGGCCGCTCAGTAGAAGAGTATTACAATACCATCTGCATTTTCATTCATACAAAATGGCAATCGTGCAACTACAACAGTTGAAGCCCAGTGGTTATGCAAAGCGCATCTCTTTTTCAGAACAAGTAGTGATGACAAAGTTGTCATTATGAGTGACGAATCACACTTTCAATCACGCCACATAGTCTTTCTCACCCTCTTTAGTTTCACACCACGTAGTCAGATTTTAGTTTCAATGCTGAACTAGTAGCTCTAAAGTTACCCACCTACAGCAAAATGGTGTTTCGAGTTTAGTACTTTTCTTCATTGGCCCACATTGAAACGTGTACTGAACAGCTACACAGGAATTGCCACTTTTAAAAACACTTCTACTACAAAGTTATGGTGCTCAGCTGTCCCACGGCTCCGTGGCTACTAAAACTGTTCACACGTTGGCTTTGTAACGCCTCTATTCCCACCACCCTACGCCAATCACTCACTTGACAGGGCAGCAAAGAAAACCGTCAGATCATTTTCCCGCTCCCTGTTTTTAATAAAGTTTACAGTTTGTCCAATGTAAAACATGATCACAATCGTTACAACTTATTTTGTAGATGCCTGAAATGTCAATTGTGTTATAATCTTCTATATGTGGATGCAATATTTTACTCAAGGTGTTCTGAGTCCTGATAGCTATTTTAGAGATTTCTATTATTTTAGCTTGAAATCCATTAGCTTGCCCAATCTTCTTTATGGGGTTCAATTCCTTTCTCCTACTGGTTTCATTAAAAGGAATTATGGAAGCTCGGTACAACATGGATCTGAAGGCTGCAGTCTTGTGGATCGTTGGATGAGTAGAGCTGTTACTAATCATTTAATTTCATTTCATTTATTTCCAACGGTAAACACCATTTATACAATAATAAATATATTTATGGTACAGACAATTCAGTCTTATGAGTAAACAATAATAACAACCAGATTAAAACTTGAATTTGAAAACAAAATGGATATAAGAAACAAGAAAACGCAATGTATAAAAAGAATAGAGATTTAGAATTGAGATGCAGTGTAAAACAGAGATGATAAAAATGTGAAATAACAACCAACAATAAATATGAAACAACAACAATAATGAATAACAGTGAATATAAATATGAAACAGCTTTTTTTGTGGCTCATTAGTGGCACCACCAAGGTAAATAAAACGTTCACATAACCTCACTCAGCATAGAGCTGACCCGACTTCTGAAGGAGTCCGTTTACGTTACATTGAGTCTGTTTGTGTAGGTTTCCTGTAGATTTGAAAGTCTATCTTGTCGTATTTTCTTTCTAGTGTTTATTTAGCTACAGTTATTTAGTTATACAAGTCCTGGGACACTAAGGATCACTAAAAAGTTCAAGAAATATAGAGTATCAATAGCCTTCAGGACTCAGAACACCTTGAGTAAAATATTGCATCCACATATAGAAAATTTTAACAAATTTGACGTTTCAGGCATCTACAAAATAAGTTGTAACGATTGTGATCATGTTTACATTGGACAAACTGTAAACTTTATTAAATGTTTCAAATACCATGTCTCATGTTGTCTTGGAGAAACAACAAACCGGAAAAATCAAATGTCGTACAACACTTGTTACAAAATGGTCGCTCATTATGGAAAATGGAAGACAATGTATCTATTTTAAAGAATTGTAAGAAAGGAAATGTAATGAATGCTTGGGAAGAATTGTACATTTACATGAAAACATGTAAAAATAGAAATAAGCTAATTAATGAACAAGTGAATTTTGACTCCAGTTGTACTTAAAGAAACTTCCTGGCCGGCACTTCCGGTAGCCAAAAGTATATAAGGGACACCATTTTTTATTCTTGTCATTCGTCTATTGGGTCTGATGATGATTGAAGTGTCCAATCGAAATTGATCACCACCGCTATATACCATCTTTCAAATGTATTTACCGTCTTGTTAGTCAACATTATGAGTGTAAATATATTATTTCTTGTGTTATTAGACGTATATCTTTTTTTGTTTTTACAGGTAATTCAATAAAACGTACTATGCTGATCAGGAAGTTATTAAATGGTATTTTACTTTTATAAAGCCTACCCCCGCCGTAGCAAACCGGTAGACTAAGCAAATTTCCATCTACTTGGCTGGAATTCCACAAAATTATTCCCTCAAAACGAAAAAGTAAATCGGTCATGGGTCTATGTCTTACCATGAGACCTACAGTAATAGCTACTTCCCTAAAGGGAAATTTGCTAAAAATGTATGTCTAACAAAGCATGATCTTTTTCAGAAGTGGCAATAGACTATCCTAGGCATAAGAAAAGAAACTGGAACATATTATTTTTAATGCTTTAATATTGAAACACAATTCAAGAACCACAAGAAAATTGAACAAAAAAGACAAGCAGATAAAAGGCAAATTCCACTCCTATACTACACTTCCAACACATCTGTATCAAGATTTGAGCAAGAGTGATGAGAGCCCTGTGTAACTATTGGACCATTTAACAAATACTTCAAACAAGAGAAGTATTAACATAAACATTAAAAGCATACTGACTATAGTTGATTCATGTAGGCTAGTTAGTTACTAAGTTATCTGACAAGATCAAAAAGTTAGATGGTGAAAGGTAAAAAATGTTAAATAACATTAAACAGCTCCCTTATAAATGTCTATTATGTACAACAGTCTTCTCATCTCAGTGGAAAATGAGAAATCATATATTAGAGCATACAGGTGAGCGCCCCTTTAAATGTTTAATATGTGAGAAAACCTTTATACAAATAGATCAAGCAAAACGTCATTTGTTGACACACTCTGGGGAGAGCCCTTATAAGTGCATTATATGTGGAAAGTCCTTCAAAGCCAAAAACATATTGAAGAGACATGCATTAGTTCACTCTAGAAAACGTTTCCATTGCAATACATGTGGAAAGTCCTTTACAACCAAAAGCAATATGAAGGCACATGCATTGCTTCATACTGGGGAGCAACCTTATAAGTGCAATACATGTGGAAAGTTCTTCAAAACCAAAAGGTATATGAAGGAACATGCATTGGTTCATACTAGGGAGCAATCTTATAACTGCAATACATGTGGAAAGTCCTTTACGAACAAAGGCAGCATGAGGAGACATGCATTGGTTCATACTGGGGAGCAACCTTATAAGTGTTCTACATGTGGAAAGTCCTTCACAGACAAACGACGTAAGAAAGAACATGCGTTGGTTCATACTGGAGAGCAACCTAAGTGCACTACATGCAGGAAATCTTTCTCATCCAAATACGCATTGATGCTACATACATTGATACATACTGGGGAGCGACCTTATAAGTGTGCTACATGTGGAAAGTCCTTCAAAGACAAAGTAACTATGAAGAGACATACATTGATACATACTGGGGAGCGACCTTATAAGTGTGCTACATGTGGAAAGTCCTTCAAATACAAATGCTATATGAAGAGACATACATTTGTTCATACTGGAGAGCTGCCTCATAAGTGCACTACATGCAGGAAAACCTTCTTAACCAATTACGCATTGATGAGACACACATTGATACATACTGGGGAGCGACCTTATAAGTGTGCTACATGTGGAAAGTCCTTCAAACACAAATGCTATATGAAGAGACATACATTTGTTCATACTGGAGAGCTGCCTCATAAGTGCACTACATGCAGGAAAACCTTCTCAACCAAGTTTGCATTGATGAGACATACATTGATACATACTGGGGAGCGACCTTATAAGTGTGCTACATGTGGAAAGTCCTTCAAAGACAAAGAACATATAAAGAGACATACATTGGTTCATACTAGACAGCTCAATTATTAGTTAAGGACTTGTGTAAAATCTATCACATAAGCCTATAAAATAAACGGTATCAGCATTCTGACACATACTTTCTTCCATAAGCTTGTCAACAACTTCATGTTGACAGCCTCTGAATCGCTTTTTTCAATAAGTGAATGAATGGTTTAAATACCTTTACTGTCAAAGCGATCCCTGTAGTCTTAGTAGGCTACTGCAGTTTCGATAACCTTTTCATGGTATCTTCTTCAGGCTAGGACATCATATCTTCGTTCGTTTTCACGAACACGTCATTATGAATAAAATCCATTGAATACACGGACACGAACACGAAACATTTACACGACACATTAAACATAAACTGTACAAATACTGGGACGGCAAGAGTGTGTGGTGGCGCATGCGGACGGCTGGTCTAGACACTTACTATATGATATGTAAATATGTATTGCACTCATTTAAATTTGCACTCTAGCAAATATGTATGATGTGAGTCTAGACCAGCCGTCCGCATGCGCCACCACACACTCTTGCCGTCCCAGTATTTGTACAGTTTATGTTTAATGTGTCGTGTAAATGTTTCGTGTTCGTGTCCGTGTATTCAATGGATTTTATTCATAATGACGTGTTCGTGAAAACGAACAAAGATATGATGTCCTAGCCTGAAGAAGATACCATGAAAAGGTTATCGAAACTGCAGTAGCCTACTAAGACTACAGGGATCGCTTTGACAGTAAAGGTATTTAAACCATTCATTCACTTATTGTCAACAACCTTTATCATAAGCCATGAGAGTAAATATATATTTTATATTTTTTAATAGTTGCAATCACTTTTGGACCGTGATTGATACAGTAATGGGGTGTTGTACTATTTTCTTTAGAATTATAAGGACCATAACATATTAATTTTGATCAAAACCAGCTTTTCTAAAAAAATCTGATTTTTTAAAATTTTATGTTTGTTTATGGGAAAATAACATAAGTTACAATAACTTTTTAACCGTAATTTTGATGGAAATGTGATTTGTACCATTTTGTTTAGGATTTAAAGGTCTATAAAATACTAAATTTCTAAGAAAATCGTTCAGGCTGTTTTCAAGAAAATCCTATTTTTTCTGTTCTTTTATGGGGTTTTATGGAAAAATCCTCATTAAAAATCAAAATTTAAAAATATATAAAAAAAGTTCAAAATTATAAGAACTATATCATACTAAGTTAAATAAAAATCGGTTTTCTTTTAATCCTATTTTTGTTACCAGTATTTTATGGGGTTTTCATGGGAAAATAACATAATTTACAATAATTTTTGAACTGTATTTTTTACGGAAATGGGAGTGATACCATTTTGTTCACAATTCAAAGGGCTACAACATAATAAATTTTTATCAAAATCGTTCAGGCCAATTTTGAGAAAATCAGATTTTTCCGTTTTTTTTTTATGGGAAAATCATTATTAAAATCAAAATTTAAAAAAAATAAAAAAGCATGGACTGTGGGGATACCATGGATTAGTACGGTACCTAGATACCAAATTTCATCAAAACCGGACTACAGGTGTGGTCTGTAGCTCTGTACACATCCAGACACACACACACACACACAAATCAAATCAAATGAAATGAATCTTTATGTTTAACAAATAATAGATCAGCATTACTAGTCCAGGCAAATTAGATCAAATATAGGGTGTGCTCCCCAAAAAATCGTCTAAAGCTGGAAAGTGTTTTAATACCTTTTGGGGGTCCCAAATAAGACTCCTGTGAGTTTGCGACGGATTCTGACGTCTGCTTAAGTTTTGGGAGTCGAAAAACTATGAAAATGTTGCACTTTCTTCAGTTTTTCGCTTATAACTCCTAAATAACGAATCCTAAGGAAAATGTTGTTCAAAGGAGTCTTTTAGTGCATTACATTCCGCGTCGATTGGTGTTAAATACGTCAAAATCAGCCTAGCCGTTTAGCCGCTGTAGCTTTTCAAAGGTGGGATATTTTCATCATCATGGCCAAAAGGTTGATTATTTGACCAGTTTTCGGCTTAAAACTCCTAAACGACGCATGCTATACAAAAATGCACCTGTAGTTAGTTTGGAAAACACAAAATTCTGCGTATAATGTTTTTTTTATCAATCAATAACGGCAATTGATTGTTACCTACTTTGTATGGACGCCATTTCATTGAAAAAAAAGTATTAAAGTTAAAGTTGGGAAATTTTAATAAAATTGGTAACAACATAGATCCTGTCCTGAAATGGATTATGAATTATTAGATAGTGGTTTATTCCATGATGGTCATCTAGAGGTTTATCTAATAAGGTGTGATGAGAGTAAGACCCCCTATGTAATTTTAAGTCTAATATTGTTGTCTGAGGTCCCGAAAATTCTAGGATTCATCCCAACCACCCATTATATACGATCTATCCCTGTATTCATCTTTCAGTTTTTTGCTTACATCTTCTAACGCATGCTATAGAAAAAATGTTCCTGTAGTTAGTTTGAAGAGCATAAACGTCTGCGTAGAATGTTTTCCAATTCATTAAGATCGGCTTCACCATTTAACCGCTATTGATTGTTAACACTAGATCAGATGATTGTCAAGTTTAAAATCTTACCACTGAAATCTGGCAAACAACCAGCCTAATTACCAAAAACATAGGGGACATGGCAGTGAATCTATCCACTAGTGTGACGTAATGGATCGTGCAGCATGGCCTATGAACAAGTAAGTGCTCATGAGAGCAACATCTTACTGTGGAGAGCTTTTTCCGAGATAGGGGAATCAATGATGTGGCCTAGCCCGATGGTTCGCTGGCAGGCCCATCGCAGTGAATGCTACCCATCAAGTTAAGGTATATTGTGGGATCACCTCTTCAACATATTATCAGCAAGTTGACAATATAAACTCCACGGATACGGTGGGATCAAAAAGAAATCCATCAAATGGTTCCAGTGTCACGACCCATTTACTGAAAATAGTTCGCTCATGTCAATCAGCTCAGCGGTTATCCCATATGATAGCATCAACGCGAGATCTGTATAAAGCATAATGGAAAGGCACAGCTTGCAAGAAAATCGTAAATAGGCAAGCCTATAATGACCATAAACTGTGCAGAAAAGAAGAATCTGCCCCCTCAGTCAACACGTGATATTCCAAGCCTCAATTTGAATCATACTTTGGATTAAAAATAGGTCCGTACCCACTAGCGCAGTGTGATGAAGAAAGCGTGATGTAGAAGAGTCGAAAATCTAACTATTCATGTAGCCTAAAATTACTCATGCTGTTTACTCCAATCAATGTGGATCTCACTGTGTTCTGACGGGTTACAACGCTTGGCGAAGTTGCAGAAGCAGGTTGGCCCTATACATGGTTGGGAGCAGAAAATATCCAAATCAAATGAGGGTTGGTCTCTTCTAGAGGACACTTTCAACTAATTTTGACTTTGATTCTAACAAAAGGGGCTGCTCATCCACCAATCCTTTAGAGCTCATTTAAAATTGTACTTAATTAAGAGAGATATGTATGGAAAATTAACGTCAATGGGTTAACTCCCATCACTACGGCTAATCCACCGGTTCGACAAGAACTTCTCAACTCCGTCTACCTATCTCGACCATCGTGTACATGTTAAAAAGGTTTACATTTTCTCGCTCCATATGAAATGCAGGGATATAATGGGGGGGGGGGCACTACTGTCTGAAAGACTTGCAAGGGGCACGATTATCTCAATTCGATATCTGACGAAAAAGATGGTACCGAATGTCACCATTTGTAGCAAGACCAATAAGAGCAAAGAATGAATCCTTATTCTTAAGATTCCAATGATGAGAAGTAGAAAAGTTTTATCGTAAAATCTACGAAAAATCCTAATCGTTTTTTTTTTAATAGGCTAAATACATAGTAAAACTATTTACATCCGTCCCAAATCATCTTTCGTTTATTAAGCTAAAAAATAACATTTTTGCTATATTTAATAAAATCTTTCTCGTTGTAATATTATATATTAGAATCGCTTAACATCATTCCGGATTGTCCAGAGATGGGATCGTATAAATGGGAGCTTAGGACGAATCCTAGAATTTGTGTAACCCCCTCAACAATATTAGATTTAAAATTGCGTAGGGGGTCTTGCTACCCTTCCCTTCACACATTCTTGGATAAACCTCTGGATGATAACCATGAAATAAACCACTATCTAGTCATTCATAATCATAATTATACGCAAAATTTTGTGTTTTCCAAACTAACTACAGGCGCATTTTTGTATAGCCTGCGTCGTTTAGGAGTTGTAAGTCGAAAACTGGTCAAATAATCAACCTTTTGGCCATGTTGATGAAAATATCCCAACTTTGAAAAGTTACAGCGGCTAAACGGCTAAGCCGATTTTGACGTATTTAACATCAATCGACGCGGAATTTATTGCACTAAAAGACACCTATGAACAAAATTTTCCTTGGGATTCGTTATTTAGGAGTTATAAGCGAAAAACTGAAAAAAGTGCAAAATTTTCATAGTTTTTCGACTCCCAAAACTTAAGCAGACGTCAGAATCCGTCGCAAACTCACAGGAGTCTTATTTGGGACCCCCAAAAGGTATTAAAACACTTTCCAGCTTTAGACGATTTTTTGGGGAGCATATGTCTAATTTGCCTGGGCTATACATAAATAACACAAAAAATTATCACATAGGCTTTTGCCTGTGCATGATAAGAGTTCATCACTGGCTGCTTAATGGTTATCTTGGATACTACTTACACAAAAGAAAAAAAAAATTTATACTTCTTAGTCTAATGTTATTTGAATACATATTTTAGGCGGGGCGAGATTAGGAAATAGATTGGGGACTGCGGGTTTGGTCAGTAATCAAATTAGACTCAGTTTCTTTTGTCAGTTAATGTTAAACGTTTTAACACAATTTGTAATAAAAGAATATTAACTTTATTTGGTTAAGGTCAATTGAAATTTATACAGCAAATGAAAAAAATATGTATAAAAAAATAATTAATTTTTTCTTTTATAACACGGAGGTTGAATTTAAGTGACTATGAATGCATTGTTGCATTGTAATGGATTGTAATGAAGTAAAG